AAAAAAAATAGTTCCATAGAGGTTTGATTGTATATTCTTAAACCAGTGTCTCTGCTTTTCATTTCACAGGTACCTGAGATGAGAGCGGAATATTATCCACCCAAAGTGGATATAGTGATACAAAATGAGATCCCAACAGATTTCTACATTATAGTGTCTGGAGCAGTGGTAAATAAATTCACCTGATTAAATAATTATTCAGCATATTTCTATAGGCAGTACCTTATATTTACTTAAAACTGCAGGATGTGCTGACATACAAAAACGGAATGGAGCAGGTATGAAGTTTCCCCATTTTCCCTACTTTCAATTTTTACCAAGTTTGATTTTATCATATATCATCTAGTCACCCCTAGGTGCAAATGACCATTAATGATAGCTTTCAGAAATCTATTGATCTAGGTAAAAAGAGAATTTATGCAATTAGATGCTATTTTTTTTTATCGTTGTATCAAGAACAAAATATTTTTATCCACGTGAGTATGTAGAATTAACGTCAAATAACATTTGAGTGGTATTAACAAGGCATATTTATAAAAATCAGACTCAACCAGTGATTATCCCATTTCTTGTGGGAGTAATAGTTAAAAAAGAAAAAGAAGAAAAATATATCTGACTAAATGCATACGTTGTATAAAATCAAATAGAAAATACTGTAAATCAAGGCACCCTCAGCAGTCTATCTTCAGAAATGTTGTTCCTGCAAGGAATGAAATAATTACTACCAGAATAATAAGAGGAGAAAAAGCATCAAATAGGAATTAGCTCTCTATTATTTAAAAATTCTAATGCTGGTCATGACTCATGAGTATACTAACTCCAAAACCACAAGAAAAGGAACAAAAACTTATTTCCTGGTTTTAAGATGTAGATAATGTTGACTGGGTTCTCCTTTTTCAGTTCGTGACAAAATTAGAGTCTCCAGCTATGTTTGGGGAAATTGGGGTGATCTTAAATATTCCCCAGCCTTTCACGGTGAGAACAAAGCGGCTTTCTCAGGTCATTCGGATAAGTCACAATCATTTTAAGCAATTAGTGGAGCCACTTCATGAAGATGGGAAGATAATCGTCTCAAACTTTCTTCAGGTTTAGAATCTCGAATATCTACAGTTCCTAGGAAATTAACATCACAACTCACTTAAGGATAACCTTACATCTCTGACTTCCAGCATTTGAAAGGCTTAAAGGATGACGAGGTAAAGGAGATGCCATTTGTCACAGATTTGCTACATGAAACAAATGTTGAGGTAACCTCTGTTATTGCACTAAGAGAAGTCTAATTAGCTTGTATCTTTATGAAACACAAACATGTAAAATTAAGATGCCAATTTAACAACCAGCAACAGTAACAACTTTGTCTTCGTGGAATGAAAAAGACTAATTATTCCATGAACACTAAAGATGGTTAAAATTGTCTCTTTTTCCAGGCTATGGCATCAACAGAGGACCTTCAAAATCGTGAGGGATCACGCCAAGAAGCAAACAGTAAGCCATCATCACACATGAATAGTCATAAACTTAGTTATGCACAAAAGTAAGTAACTTTTCAACCTTATCAATTAATAATGGGAAAAATTTACATGCAAAATGTTATGGAAATATTATTGGCCATACATTGCCACAAATCACGTCCAGAGAAATAAAAACACTACATGATATTCACTTAACAAATCCTATCTCGAGCCAGAACACCCAGGGACAAATCTTCACGCGCTTGTAAATAACTCAAGGGAACAAGAAAATTAAATAATTTACTACCAAAATTTAATTTAATTTGCATGAATCCTGAAATTTTCAGGAAGCGCAAGAGTTCATACACCAGCCAGGCTACCTATAAGGGTGGTACTCCACGGGTATCGTCCAGATATGAAACCAAACAAAGAAGACGGGGGACGACTTGCCCATCTTCCAGACTCGATAGACGATTTACTGACATTAGCAGGTGAGCAATTTTTGTGATAATAATGGAGGATCTTAAAAAGTCAAACCACTCGCAAGTACAGAAAACTGCAACTCAGAAAATACAATTCCAAAATTGCCTTTATATTCCTACTTCCAGTCCCATCATACTTTCAATTAATTCAATTATTCAAAGATACACCAAGTCATAATTGAATTAAGTAGGAGAAAACTAGAAAAGTTGTCTGTGATTCTCATTTGGGCAACATAAATTCATTGAACACAGAGAAAAAGCTCGGGCAAAAAGGATCCACAATTCTGATGGCTGATGGCTCTGAAGTGGAAGACATAAATGCTCTGAGAGAAAACGATCACTTATACATTTTTTAGGCAAGGAACTTCAGAATGTACAATAACTCTTAAAATTTTGTTGATTTATTAAAGGTAGGAAAGCATAAGCCAATGTATCACACAGGTATGTGTTAATGCTATGTGCTACTTTCTGAATTTGTAACATACGCAGCAGCAGCGGAATTATATAAATGTGTATACAGTATACATAGTTCAATTTACCCTGAAATGAAAATGTTAACCTTAAAGTCTCAATTGATATCCCGGCCTTGAAGCATGTCAAGAATGGCTAAAGCAGCTTTCTGAAAATTTTCTTTCTCTTCTTCTAAGACAACCGTCTCTGAAGAACAGCTTCCTTGGATTTCTCTATCTCTTCCGTTATGCCAGGAGAAGGTTGATCAATTTCACTTTCACTGACAGTCAAGGAAAAAAAAAGTGATTTAGAATGCAATGAGGAAATTGTGAAGTTATATACTTTGTCACAGCAGTAATTGCAATTGTTGATTGCTCACAATACAAAATATGCAAAAATGAAAGCAATCTATGGGTTCAAAAATACTTGGTCAGCTAAGTGCTCACTTTGTCAGTTTAAGCATGTTTTCCATCACAAGTTTGCGCATTTTGAGAGAGATCTGTTCGTCTCAAAATAAAATCACTTTGTTAGAAAACTCGACAAACTAATTAATATAATTGAGCAGGCAAAGTGCATGATCAAACTAATGAAGCTGATCTAATTTCTTTATGAAGAGGTAACTCATACATATCAACATATCAACAATTTTGCATATATATTTCACACACTCGAAAAACAAGAGACTAAACAGGATTTTGTTGTCCGTACCAGAATCGGAAATTAATTTATGAGAAACTGTGGCGACGTTGAAAATTCATAATAATAGCCACCGCCTACAAACACAGAATTTTGCAATGACCTGTATGAGTGTGAGCTGTGAGTCACAGTAAATCAGAGAAGTGAGACTCGGCGGCGGGAGGAGGAGCGAGCTATGTGACGTCATCCTTTGAGAAAAAAAACTGAAATGGAGCGCGGGAGATTCGGTCGGGTCAAGACCTAGCTAGTAGGTCATCGGTTCAAACACCTGTTTCGGNGTTTTGGATTGGATTAAATTTATTAGATAAACTGAATTAATTTAAAAAAAAAAGTTAGTTTGAAACTTTTTTTAGTGAGCTATTAATTTAAATAATATTTAAAATATAATAATTAAAGATGATGTGATATAAAAGTAAGAGATGAGTGATTTAAAGTTAAAATTATGTGAGTAAATAATTTATAATAAAATTAATGTGATATGTAAAAATGATTGATTGATATTATTTTATTATATTGATTATATTGAGAAAAGTTGAATTAAGTTTAATTAAAAAAATTATCATATTTTGTATCCAATCAGACTCTGACTGCATCACGATAGCATATGATATCGCGGCAATTTATTTTGCGTGGACCCGTTATTGTATCTGAAGTTGGCACACCAATATATGCCTCCCAGTTAGTAGATGAACACTTTCGTAATTCCAAAAAGTTCAAAGATTATCATTTTCATAACATCAAACTACTCATTCACTTTGATAAAATTTGTTGGCCATTAACAAATCCTTCCCTACCAAAAGGAACAACACAACCAGGTCAGCCACCACAAGCACCACACAGTACAAATTCTCAGGCCCTTAGTTAGCAGCAACACAAAGAATCCCCAACCCATACTTCATCAGTCAAATACATACACACAATAAAAACTTCTAAAAACTTACAAACACCCAACAGCCAACAAAAAGTAACATAACCCCCAAATTCTCATCATAATCTGCAAACACCTCAGTACATCCTTCCCGTACACTCCGCCGCACCACAGTAACACTTCTTCACCTTAATATTCCCATGTGAGTCCTGAATCTGATCCACCGAGTAGTTATAGTGATAGGTCAGCTCCTTCAATGGCGGAATATTCTCCATCGCAAAAAGCATCACGTGCGGCATCTTCATATCATCGTGATCGTAAATAACATTCTGCGCATACAGATTCGGCGCGCAGCTGTGATTAATAAATCTCCCAACATTCCCATGCCTGCACGCATCTATAGTGTACCCGCCTTCCCCAACAAGCTCAGCCGAGAGAGCCTCATCCTCCGCATTCAAACACGAGTCACTCAGATTCTGCCCAATGTCGAACAAATACTCGTCACTCCCAATCCTCCTATCCGCTTCCGTGTGCTTCAGAAGCTCCCCTGCGTACTCGCAGATGAAGCTTCCGGAAGGTATGGAGGTCAGTGACCGCACCCCCCAACCCCGAGTCTCGGTCTTGAAGATCTCGAGCTGGTGCCTGATTCCTCTCTGGCTAACCCTGTCGTAGCAGGAAGGCGGGCACTTGCAGTGGGGCCCACACTCGTACACGAGAAGCTTAGTCTCCACGAGTGCTCCGTTTCGATTATAAGGAATCTCGCCGCCGTTACGGACCGCGCACCGGCACTTTCTCGAATCCGAGCACCGGCCCGTGCAATCGCAGCCAGGTGGCGCTACGGGGTTGTGCCAGCTAGGATACATCATTCTCTCGACGTAGTCGAACGAGGGAGGCTTCTCGTCGTCTATAGTGTTCACAGCCGGAATACCGAACGGCTCCTTTTTCCGAGATACGTCCATGATGCACACACTCGGCCGAAACCGAGCATTGTTCGACGACTTCTTCAGCTGCTTCCAGGGGAGTTCGGGCTGGCCGGGTTTTCTACGCAGCTCGAACATGAAGACTTGCTTTCCGTGGGGCCCGGTTTCCATCCAGTACTTCTCGACAGTGTAGAGTCCGTCGTATACGTAAGTAGTCACGAGCTTCGGTTTCGGGTCAAGAGGGTCCACGGCCTTGTCCTTCCACCCACGAACCACGCGGACGGGCGTTTTCGCGTCTATGCTGTTTTTCAAGGCCAAATTGCCCCTCACGAGCTTTTGGTCGTGAGGATTCTGCCTTTGCTTGCCGACGACGTTTCCTCCTTGTCCGGAGTATATCAAGACGTCGGAGTTTTCCATATCGTCAGAATAAGACCCGGACGAGACGATGCTAACGGCAACCGATAGCCCGTTTTCGAGCTTCATTGAGTCTATGCCGGCCTGGTACAGGCGATGGATGCCGACAACTGCAAGCTCGACTCGGTATTGAAACTCGTCCCCAACCTGAACTCCGGGAACGTCTCCCAGGATTTGTTTCTCGCTGTTGACTTCTTTTCCTTGCTCCTTGATAGCATTGGCGGCGAAAAGGTCGATCCTTTTGACGTTTCTCCCCGGTTTGTGTTCGTGCTCAGGGGTCGAGGTTGCTTCTTCTTTCTGCAGGAGCTTTCTGCATATGGCGTTGAACAAACAAAGGGTCTCTCGGACTTTGTTGCGGGCGTCTCCGTGGCCGGAGCTGTTGGGGCCAAAGGGGGGTAGGGTGACCTCGAAATCCTTCTGCTTAAGGGATTTTCTGGATAAATTCCCTTTTTTTTGTTCACCGTATGCAGGTAGCAAGGCGTCGGGACTCCCATCGTCATCACCGTCATTATTGATACGGACTTTCTCGCGCATTTTGGACAGAGGTACTAAGGGTTTTACATTCTGAATACTTTTCTTAGCAGTGACCTTCGATTTGTGCCGCCTGGAGGGACTAAGCTCATTTCTTTCTCCACTCATTCTCCGATCATGCTTATTGCTCGGAGATGTTTTCGCTTTCTTCCAAGAACAGTTTGGTTCACCCATCAGAGCATATATGATCTTCCTATTCTTGTCATCGTTTGAGCTAGAAGCACTATGCAAAGGCTTGAATCTTTCATCCCTTTTTCCTGGATAATTAACGACATTTTTTCCAGCATGTTCAGCCGAAATAGTAGTAGCAATCTCAGGCATGTCTTCATCATGGACGACAGCATCTCCCCTTTCTAATTTCTGAATATTGCTTTGCTGTACAGTACCGCTGCTTTTTCCTGAACCTAATGGCCGTCCACCAGCCCACCCATCACTCAATGCGGTTGACTCATTCGCGACAAGGGATTTTTTGAGTCTAATCAGACATTTTCCTTGGGAAGTCTGAGTTATCTGCCTAATAGTCCAATCCTGCAGAACAGTTCCTGGCAGAATTTCATGGGATGCTGATTTAAGCTTCACATCTCCACCAGGCCAGCCTTCTTCAACCGGTAAACGAACATTTATCCCGCAGTAGGGAGGGAAGTCACGAACTGCAGACACAGTCGTCGTACGGTATTTGAACTTCACCCTAACAGAACTATCCTGAATTGGCTTGGCCGCCTCCAGACCTGATTTCTTAACCAAAGTCAATGTTTGCACTTTGTTTAACTTATCCAGCAATGTCTGTCCTCTAGCCTCAGTTTCTTTGTGAGGGGAATCAGTTTTCGCACCATCCAGTGCATTAATTTCATTGAGTTTACCATTTGTGATCAAATTTTCAGCAGCATCCAACTCTTCCAACGGCTCAGTCATATCCACATCCACAGTAATAGATAACGCTTCATGTGATTCACACTCCACTTTAATATTAGAGTTTTTCACACTGCTACATCTGACATCATTTAGTAAGTCGGTATCTGTTTTCGTCTCCCAATCCTTCACGGGTTTGGGCATTTCAGAAGTGTTAACCTCATTACTCTCTGCTTTGATGTCGTCTTCAGAATATCCGACCAGCTGGGGCCCAATTGTTTCAGCCATTTTAGGACTTCCAAAAGTATTAGCCAAGATGGGCCCAGGTTCACTGCCTCTAATTTCTTCAGGTTTCAAATTCACCGGCACAGTATTACGGCCACAAAGTGGGGGAAAGTCCCGGACTGCAGATACTCTTCTCCTTGGCTTGTATTTGGGTAAGCACCCATTCTCCAGAGGCCGTATGTTGGAGACCTCACCCGAAGCACCATTTGAAATAGAAGCCATTATCTGAAGGATAATTATGACAATGAGAAGTGAGAAGGAATTTAGTGAAAAAGAACAAAAGTAAGTGTAATGCTATTCATACAACTAATACATGATAACATCTATCTACCCATCCATCCACAAATGAAAGCCCCACAGGTGATAACACATGTATCCCCAAAAATTAACCCACCGCAGTGAACATTTTGACAACTTTCGAATACAAAAAATTAGGGCATTCAATAGAAAAGTCTAGTCTAGTTCAAAGAAGAACGAGAACTTCAAAATATATAATAAGCCAAAAAAGCAAACATTCCGAGAGCAACAATCTAGCCAAAACAACAAAGGAAAAAATAAATAAATAAATAAAAAACATAGTATATTTATGTGTAACCGCTAAACGAAAGAAAGGCAAACCAGGCACATGAACAGACACCTACCAGATGAAGAGAATCCGTCGATTAAGCTGTGCGTAAAAATGAAACGATGAAAATGAGATGACCAAGTAGCTAACCGGAAAAGCTGCATCAACGTGACGAACGATTATTATTCACGAAATATGCCTATATCATAAATTGAACCAACGGCAAAAAGACAACAAAATGAAAAAACAAAGATGCCGAGATTTATCTACCTAAGATTCGTCGCCGAGTATGGATATATAAACAACAGTTATATGTATATACATAGCTTAAGCTCAACAAACAGTAATACTTCTCTGTGCGAGTGACTGCATTAGCAATTTGGAATTCGGACAGTTGCACCAGCCATGGCCACTAAATCGGCTTGAGAAAAACGAAAGAAGAAAGTGGAGTACTTCGAAGTGAATAAAATAGGTGCGACAAATAAAACAAGGAAAAGTTTGTAGATGTAAAAGAAGAGGAAATTTGTTCCGTAGGATTGGGCCATTGCAAAATTAATCATATTCGGTGAAAATTCAATTATTAACTTTTTTTCGGAAGTAATCCTAAAGCCGTCAACATTAACAGGGTGTCACACGCGAATCACGTGGTCGTTAGGTTGATGGTTGAAAATAAGAAAATTGCAAATTTAGTTCATAAGATTGATTGTGTTGAAAACTTGGTCCCAAATGTTATGAAAATGGATTTTTTTACTATTTTTTGTTGCAATCTTTATGTCGTGAGTATATAACAATTTTGATAGTAAAAATTTAGTTTTGAGATAAAATAATAATAATTATTATTATACTATATTTTTTATATTTCAAATTATTTTAAATAATAAATATATTTAAAAATAATTATTTAATTTTATTATAATTGTAGTGGTTGACAAAAAATAATAATATAACTATAGACGCTAATAAAACTTATAAAATAAAAATAATATCAATTACTATTGTTTTGAAAACTGGGCAAATTAGTTGCTGAGTTTTCTACAACTTATATAAACTAGGTTATAATGTCGAAGGTCGCCAATGTGGTGATGGCATGACAATAACTTCCTTCTCGCAGGTGGACGATATCGTAAGAGGCAAATTTGACAAAGCAAATTTCCGAGTTAGCCTTCCGAGTGGAGCCGACAAGGGAATGTTAGTAAAATTGCGGTTAAGACTTTTTTTTTTTTACTCAATTGTGATGTTTAGGAGAAATTTTTAATTTATAAGAACAAGAAGGAGATTGTTCAAATTCGATACCTAGAATGTTGTTCATTTCAAATACTCCCTATGTTTTATATTATTTGTCGTTCTCTTTTGAAAGAACAAAATTACGTATTCAATAGAATTAGTTATCTAAATCTCCTAAATCTTATTTAAATATTTTTTTTAATAATTTCTATCTCCTTTCATGGTGTTGTTGGAATGAATTAGGAGAACATTAGATAAAGACACGTGAAACAAGAAAAAAAAAAACTAATCTACAGATTTTTAGGAGTTGAGATACTAGTTGTAAAATTAATTAGTTCAAGATTATGTAAAACGATAATTAACAAGCAAAAATAAAGACACACTAAAACGACATATATTGCAAAATGGAGGGAATAAGAAATAAAAGGGAATGTTGAGTTATTTATGTTGGCATCTATAGTCGCCACATAGCTTAGTTATGTGGCGACTAAATCGTTTTCAGTTGATGAGGATGCAAATGTATTTAGCATGCTTTTTACTTAATATGTGAATTTCCTATTCCGACCCTAGGCATTATGGATATAAATATTTGTAGCCTCCACAATGTTTGTGCGTATGGATAATACATAACATTATCTGCTTGCTTTCACTTCTTAGCTCAAAATATTTACACTGCCATTTCCACATGGTACACGAGCTAGGTTAAATTTTTCAGTAAATGGCGAAAGCGTGGAACATGGAGACCTGACTGTTGCTCAACGCTGGGGATTGAAAATCGAGCTCTTCACGCTCGAATCCTCTTTACAATAAAGCGATTAACCTTCAGAACTCCGATAATCCTTGTATGGTTTTGGTTTGACATCTTGACTGGAACAAATTCCCTTTCATGAAGGAAATCGATGACAATTGCACTTGGTGCTAAGTCGAAGCTTGGTTTCATAAATGGTAAGCTTCCTGAGCCGGATGAGACTTTTCAGAGTTATGAAGTTTGGAAGAAAACTGATTACATGATAATTTCATGAATTTTGAATACTCTGTCGAGGAATATAGTTAAGAGTTTTGTTTATGCTATTAATGCTAGAGAACTTTGGGAAAACATAGAGAGAAGATATGGTCAAAGCAATGGACCACTGTTGTATAAGTTTTAAAGAGAGATCACTAGAATTAATCAAGGTCATGATAGCATTGTTGAGTATTTCTCAAGCATCAGCAATTATGGGATCAATACGACAATTTGAAATCGCCCAATGTTTGTACCTGTCCAATTAGCAAAAATGTAGTTGCAAATGAGAGCCAAACTAAATTGTTGCAGTTTCTTATGGGCCTACATGATGCATATGAACCAGTTAGATCACAGATTTTGCTGATGAAACCCCTGCCTAAAGTAGATAAGGCATATTCCGTGTTGGTTAAAGTGGAACAATAGAAGGCAGCTAGTATGACTTACAGCAATCCGTTTGAAAGCTCAACAATGATGAGGAATTCATTTGGCAGGGGAAATCATAGTAGAGGAGGACAATTTGGTGCCAACAAAGGACAAGGTAGAGGTGGATATATGAGGACCAAAGAAGAAAAGGCTAAACTAATATGTGAATATTAGAGCACACATGGGCATGAAATGGCAGAATGTTTCAAACTATATGGTGTATCAGAGTGGTATCACAAAATGAAGGAACAACAAAAACCTAAAGGCTATGCAAATGTAGTTGTTGAAAAGGTTGAGACTCATTCATCCACTTCAGAGAACAAATATCAGAACTCATTACACGAGACTTGTCTTCTCTCATACAATATGAATTGTTGTAGTTATTTGGATCTAAAGGGGGAAATGAGGTAGCAGAAACAAACAATGTTCACTTTGAAAACTCAACAGGTACCGACTGTACTCACTATGCTTTCAGTACAATTGAAGGTATAGGTGATGGCTCTTGCATATTGGACACTGGTACTAGTAAACATATGTGCATTGACTTAAAAATTCTTCATGATTTGAGACCTATCATTCCTATTGTTCATGCGCATTTCCCAAATGGAAGATCCTTTAAAGTCACACAAGCAGGATTTGTTAGAATTTCAATAAATATCATTCTCATGATGTACTCTACATTCCTGAATTCAAATGCAATCTTCTTTCCATCCCATAGCTCACTCTTCAATTCCACATGAAATGCACCTTCACATCATATCTTTGTCCCTTACAGGACCTTGAAATAAATAAAATTTTAGTACTAGGAAGGCTAATGGAAAATCTCTACCTACTACTGAATCCCATAAATTTTTCAACTTCAAAACAACAAATAGCTTATTCTTTTGTATCACATAACTTCTTTGTATTTTTCTTTGGCATCATGTGCTTGGACATGATTCCTTCAATTCCTAAAGAAATATTGTACCAAATCTGATATTAATCAAATAAAATTTTGTGATTCATTTTCAAAGAAAAATATCAAAGATCACCTTTCCACATTTTGATATCCAATCCAATCTTAACTTTGAGTTGTTGCATGTTGATATTTGGGGCCTTGTAAAGGGACTTCCATCACATGTACCCCTTATTTTTTAACCATTGTGGATGATCCCAGCAAGGCTACTTGGGTGTACCTTTTGAGACAAAAGAGTGAGGTTTAACTCATTTTGAAACAATATATTCTCATGATCATGACTCAATTTCATGCAAGAGTCAAAACTATGAGAAGTGATAATGCTCTTTAATTTCTCAACCAAACTTGCCAGAGTTCCTTCCATTCTTCGGAAATTGTCCATCAAACCACTTGTGTACATGCACCCAAGAAAATGGTGTAGTTGAAAGAAAACACAAACGTCTATTGGAAGTGGCTAGATCCATCATGCTTCATTCACATTTACTCTCAAAATCTGACCATATTCAGCCCTTTATACCACACACATCATAAATAGGCTTCATTTTCCAGTTGTACAATGGAAAACCCCTTTAAAAATTCTATACAACGAACTCTCTGATTACTCACTACTTCATCCTTTTGACAGCTTGTCTCACCTACCAAGTTTGAATATGAACCAAGGGTCTAAGAATGCGTTTTTATAGGATTTGTATCTGGAAAGAATGGATATCATTTGTAAAATTTAACTACTCACAAGTTCTTATTCTCTAGAGATGTTGCCTTTCAGCCACTTAAATGTCCTTTCACATAGACTTCAGATAGTGTTCCTACCTCCTCAATACCTCTACGTATGACTTGTGATAATTCACCCTCTACTTCCATTTCCACTTCTACATCTATACCAGTTCCTTTATCAGAAACCGTACCTCTAATAAGATTTAGCAAACCACCTACTTGGCTAAATGATTATGAAGTTTATTCAATGCATGAGCATGCTACACTTCCACATGATCCTCTTATCAAACATGTTAGTTTAATCCTGCATATCATGATTATTTTTGTCACGTGTCCTCTATTAAAGAGCCTACCACCTATGTTGAGGCTTGTACTCAAGTACTATGGATTGAGTCTGTCAACACTGAACTTGTTGCCTTAGAGTGAAATAAGACCTGAGAGCTCACCATTTTGCCTAAAGGTTAAAAAGCCATAGGCAGTAAGTGGGTCTTGAACGTTAAACTCAAAATTGAGGTATAAAGAACGGTTGGTTGCTAAGGGTTTAACCAAGTATTGGGAATTGTCTCTAGTGATAGTTTTTCCCCACTTGCAAAGATGGTAACCATAAGGTTCTTCATTGCCTTTGTTACCATCAAGGGATGGCTACTCATGCATTTTGATGTTAATATTGCCTTCTTACATGACTAATATGTGAAGATGTTTATATAAAGCCCCCTGATGGATACTTTAGGCAGTCTCAGGTAAAGTGTGAAAATTGAGATGAAGCCTATATGGCCTAAAACAGGCCAATAGAGAATGGAATCATGAATTAATTGATGAATTGTTTACTTATGGTCTTGTGCAGTCTCCTTTTGATCACTTTCTTTTTTTTTTCATGGAAAGTTCTTGTTTATTGGCTCTCTTGGTGTATGTGGGTGATTTAGTAACAGGAAGTACTGAGGAGGTGATTATTGCCCTTAAAACATATTTGGATGATCTCTTCACTATTAAGGATCTTGGCCCTACAAGATACTTCTAGGGTATGAAGATTTCAAGAGGTGTTGCTGGTACTTATTTGAGCCAATATAAATACATCACTCATCTTTTACATTCAACACACATGGAAGCTTGTGAGTCAGTTGCCACTTTTTTGCCATAGGGACGCTCACTCACTACTACACAATGTGATGTTCTTGTAGATGCTGATAATTAATACAGGAGGCTCATTGGTAGGCTCCTTTATTTGAACTTGACACGGTCTGACATCACTTGCTCATCAATTCATTGGGATGCTACCTTACATATCTTGAAATATCTAAAAGGTTTGATCAGTCTGGGGCTGTTTTATTCTTCCACTTCTACATTTCTTCTACAAACTTATGGGGATGCTGACTGGGAAACTTTCAAAGACACTAGGTGGTCAGTGACTGGCTATTGCATTTTTCTCGGGACTTGACTGATTTCTTGGAATAAAACCAAATGAACCAGAGCAGGGATTGCTGTTGCAACTTGGGAGAGCACCGTCTCCAAATCAACTACTGAGGCTCAATACCGAGCCTTCAGCAGCACAATACATGAACTTCAATGGATATCTTATATTGGTTTTGAGCATTCAAGATTTCTCCCACATTGCCTATATCTCTGCTATTTGGTAATCAAGTTTCCATCCAAATCTCTGTGAATTCCCTTTTTTACGAGCGTACTAAGCATTTTGATATTGATTTTGTCGGGGTGGGCCACGACAGTTCTGTTGGTCTTCGTTCGATTGGTATACGGGCGGTAAAATTCAAAAATGGTCATATAATTTGGTCAAATTCTAATTTTCCACCCCGTCGCTGACCACTTTCAAAGTGGGTCCAATAATTTGACAATTTAATCAATTTTAGTCTCTTTTTATCCGCATCCTGAATAAAAAAAAAAAAAAAAAAAATGCATTTTTAAATCTGACATGGCGTGATTATGATTTATGACAAGGAAAAGTTGTAAGTTTTTCAACACATAACTTGTTTTAATTTAATAATGTTTGTTAGGCTTTCTGTTACCATTTCTCTGCGATGAAAAAAGAATCTGTGCAGTGATTTGCTATGACTGTGCCGTGCTATACCATTGGGGGAGATGCATATATGTGATCTTCAGCTTAAAAAATAAAACAAGATTTATTCTGAACTCCACTGTGACTGTAATAGATCATCTAGCTAGATACACCCAAATAACAGTAAATTGTTCCACAAAAAGTCCAAAAACATTATCTTCTTTTACGGTTTACCTTCTCCAGCATGCCGTGGGACCCTCATAGCTTCAGTACTCGTCCTACAAACAACTGCAACATATATATATATATATATATTCACACGGCCGGCCACGCAGAAAAGTAGTGCAAAAGACTGCATGCTTGCCGCCATGATAACTTCTTCAAATGCCCGATGGCGACTTTGCACATTGGCAGCACGGCGGCGTGCCCTTTTCCGGTGGACTCGGGCTTGGCCCCACTCCAGGTGTCGGTTGCCCCACTGGTGGCCCCACGCCAGGTGTGGGCAGCGGAGGAGGATTAACTGCTGATGACGTGGCCCCACAGCCGAAGCTGCTACAGTTAACCGCCTTGGCCAAGAACCTCCGGCAATCCTCCTCAGTCCTCTGTCCCGGCCTCCCTCTCAAACAATTCATCCCGTCGTCGAATCCCGGAAGACTCACGCACTCTGGCCCGTGGCTAGTGAAATAATTATCCTCGTAAAAAAAATTCACCATGCTCGGTAACTCACATATTCCCGACGGAATCCCTCCCGACATCAAGTTATGCCCCACGTTCAGCTCCGCCAAGCTGCCCATATCCGCGATCGAGCCCGGCAGCGGGCCCACGATCCTATTCCGGCTCACATCCAAAACCGTCAGATTCCTCAGCCTCCCAATCTCGCTCGGAAAACACGACGACAGCCCGTTGTTCGTCACCACCAGCTCGTTCAGCGTGGCCCACATGTCACCTATTCCCGAAGGAAAGCACCCCTCGAAACCGTTGTTCGCCAGAACCAAAACTGAGACTCGAGAGCTCCCGATATTCTCGGGGAGCGTCGACGAGAATCGGTTGTCGTTGACGAAAACCGCGTCGAGATTTTTGGAAAAGAGGGATTCCGGGAGGGCGCCGTCGAACTCGTTGTACCTCAAGTCGAGGTATTTGAGGTTTTTGAGGTCGAGGAGGTGGGAAGGGAAGGGTCCCGAGAAGCGGTTGTTGCTGAGGTCGAGCTCGTGGAGGCGGGTGAGGGTGGCGAGGGTTTGGGGAAGTTTGCCGCAGAAGCGGTTGGAGTTGAGGTGGAAGACGGCGAGGTCGAAGAGGAGGCCGAGCTCGTGGGGGAGGTGGCCGGCGAGGTTCGCGTGGTTGAGGTCGAGGGCGGCGACGGTGCGCTCGCAGGGGTTGTCGGGGGAGGGCCAGCAGAAGACGCCGGTGTAGAGGCAAGGGTCGGGGCCGGTCCACGTGGCGGTGAGGTTGTTGGGGTCGGAGAGGATGGCGTCCTTGAAGGCTTGGAGGGCAATGTAGGCGTTGCGGAGGCGGGGGTTTTCGAAGTCCAGGTTTTGTTGTAGTGGGAAGCTGAAATGCAGGGGAGGATATTTGACTGTTTCGCGGTCCTATCATTGTTTTATTGTTTTTTGGGCTGTTGAGATGAGATTTTGAAGGGTATTTGTTAGTGAGATTCGGGAGGTGGGACTCTATACCAGTGTACTCAAATCTCTTGGTAAATGAGTTTAATTTCTACTTTTTTATTTTTATTTTTTTATTATTGTTTTTCTTTTTTCATCCCAATTTTTTAGGTGTATATAATATATCCATCAATATATTCATCACAATGTATTTGAGTTTAAAATGTTTGGAACAGCCCATACTTTAAAAATATTGGTTAGCCCATAATTAAATTGGAACTCCTTTTCATTTACTACAGCCGTGTGATGTAATGAAGATTGACTAATTTTTATCAGTTTTTCTAAGAAACCAACCGTTAGTTTCTATTCTACCATGAAGCCAACATCTATATGGCGGCTGATGTTACAAAGATGCATGGTTAATTATTTTTTTTTATGGTATTAGTTTCATTAAATAGGCAAAATAATAGCACCGGATTTGTTTCCTCTTTCTTCCATCTATTTGTTATATTGGATATGGAAGGTGTGTATGCATCTCGAGGAAGACCAAGGCGCAACGTTGAAAAGATGACTAATCTTCACCATTATTGAGTTGAGTTGTTTTATTCTGTGATTGATATGCTAGCTCAAGAGCTTAACAATCGATTTGATGAAGTGAACACAAAGCTACTCTTGTCAATGGTATGCTTTGATCCGAGAGACTCAATTTCTGCATTTGATAAAGGGAAATTGCGTCGTCTTGCAGAATTTTATCCATCAGAGTTTTCTGCAATTACTTTGCATGAACTTGAAAATCAACTCGAGAATTTCATTTTTGATATGCGTTTAGATGAAAACTTCTTGAATGTAGCCAATATTGGTAATCTTACTCAAAAGATGGCGCCTAGAAGAAAACATGATGTTTTTCCACTGGTTTACTTGTTGATTTTACCGGTTGCCACTGCTACAGTGAAAAGAGTTTTTTTGGCAATGAAAAACATCAAAAGTGCACTACGTAACTGAATGAGCGATGAGCTTTTGAATGATTGTCTAGTGACACACATCGAGAAATATATATTTCTGAATCTTAGCAATGAGGTTATCATGCAACAATTTCAAAACATAAAAAATATAAAATAAATGTTGTGATTTCTCAATGTTATCCAAAGTTATTTTCTTGAACACGCGGATATATGTATTATGTTCAGTTAGTTGGTACTTGTACTGAATTATTTATTGTAATAGTTGATGTATTTCTTTCTTGTTATTATTAGCTAAGCCCCTCTCAATAAAATTCAGATATCCGTCACTATATATGGTTGCTTGGACCAGCCAAAGCAGCACCATTGCCGGCTAATAATATTTAACAGCAGCAGTCAAATATTGATCAAATATTATAACGAAATACGACTGGATGTGAGAAATGATCAAGTTGTAAAGCCACCAACAACATGTTTACTTGATGTTTGAACATCTAAAAGGACCGGCCAACGATCTATGCTCCAGTAAACGGATAAACAAGTACGCAAATTATATCAATTTTATCATACCAATCACACGAATTTCAATTTTTATTCTGAGATTGCAACATTTCATTTATAGAGATTTTTCACGAAAAAGGACCAATGTTCATGGACAAACCCGGATTGTGGAAACAAATAAATGCCATGAACAATGCACAATTGCAAAAATTTGATCACTTGAACCAATATTCATAAACTTAACCCGCATAACGTCAGCAACTCAAAACACATACAAAAAACAAAATTGAAACATAATTAAGCTCCGAAAAATTATAAATGATGGATGGAACACTCTTTCAAGCAGAAATTCTACAAAACCTTGACAAAAAGCAAAGATAACACACGAATTGTCTCTAAATCAGATAATGCTCTTACAACCTAAGCTCCGATGTTTGAAGCCTTGTTCAGGATAACTCCCTCATATTTAACCTGGAACCACTTCATTGCATCATCCTTAGTGACCCTGTGCTGGATCCCAACACGCGACTTGCACCTACGGCGGCGGCCCACACGATATCCAGGGCGTTCAAGGACAACATAGAAATCCATGCCATAAATACCAGTAGATGGGTCATACCTAGAAAAAGGTTGTTTACAAGATTATCAACACTTTATCTTAGTTAAAAAAAAGAGCAGGTATCAGTATTTGCCAGGTCACAACAGAACAAAATTTTAGGACTAGTTTCAGAAATTACTTGTCAGATTTGGAGAATTAAGAAAAAAGGGTTGGAAAAAAAATGGCATCTGATATTCTGAAACTTTGTTCTCATGAAATAGAAGTGTGAATTATTCAAATTTAGAAGAGTTTTTAACATTTGGAACCTCCCTTGATTTCTTTAGTAATAAGTACCAAGTACTATGCAGGTAAAGCTAATCTAGTCAATAGGAGCAAATTTAGATATGTTGAAAGAATAAACTGCACCAGATGACAGGTATGCTTACTTAATTCCAAGATCAATGTGTTCCTGGATTCCGAAACCAAAACAGCCAGTATCACTGAAATTCCTTCTCAGCAGCTCATATTCCTTGACCTTCAAGCCACTCTCCAGGAGTTGCATTGCCTTGTCACCTCGGACAGTGACATAGCAAGCAATTTTTTCATTACGTCGGATCCCAAAGGAACGTACAGTGTACCTTGCTGCAAGCATGGGTAAGAACAGAATAAATAAATAAAAAAAAGAACATTTCTGACGAATAATATACTTTAGATCTATGTAAATTAACAAGAGATCCGACGATCTATAAAAGAACCCAGCATAAGCTTGTAGTAAGTAATTCTTTAACATAATGTATGCACTTAAAGGAAGGAAAAATACTAAAATAGAAAAGACTATTTGAAATATTTTCTTTAAAATTTCCAAACATACAAGCATTAACTCAATTTGTCAGAATACCCCATACGAAACTTGAACAAAAGCCACCAAACCAAAGAGTACCAAATCTTCGTGATCTTTGGGGTTAAACTACGTGGATGATTAAAATTTTGATGACTCTGAGACACAGTACATCTCAGATGCTACAGATCATAAAATTAATCAGAACTTTTTTAATAAAACAAGAAAGAGAAAAAGAAAACATAAAAATATTGAAGACGAAAAGAATCTTTAGATAATCCACCAATTAACTCTAGTTGAAATGCTTGGAACATTACAACAGCACAGTTGTCTAAATGCTGTAGCTCCCTAAGCTAACTTATACACACAAGCACATATAAAACTGACATATTTAACGTTTAAGACAATATGATCGCATTGGAATTTATATTTCATCTAGGACAGGTAAAAAGGTGCCGTGTTGCAATTTAAAAACAATCCAAATATTTACCCTTGGAGAAAACCGGGATTTGTCCACTGAGTTGCTCCAACACCTGAAAATCAATAGGGAAAAAACATGAGCACAAGAAAATCCGAATTGATATGAAGAGAACGAACGGGAGAGCTTTATACCTTAGCAGCTCTCGTGAGACGATCTCCGCTTTCGCCGACGGAGATGTTAAGAACGAGCTTCTGAACCTTGATCTCCCTCATCGGGTTCGATAATTTCTTTTCGGACGCCTACATTGAACACCAGCATAATTAAGCGCAAGCAATGCATAGTTACAAGACCATGAATTAGTGAGAAACTGTGAAGATAAAGAACTACGAAATGCAGAACTAACCATGGCGATACGGCGGTTGAGACGAGGCAGATGGGGAAAATGAAACGATGGGTTAGCTAGGGTTTACCATCTATGAACGCTTTATATACCTTAGGGGTGGGACTGTTGACTTAGTCAAGTTGCTGAAGCCCACTATATTTTGGCTTCCAACCCAACTTTTAATTGGTCATAGGCCCATACAACCAATACTAAATTGGAAATTATGAATTTTTATTTATGCAAATTATCAAGTTATTCGATCCCTATAAAGAATCTTGATAAAATTATTTTTCCTTAAAATAAATAACTAAATCAACATTTTAAACAAATAAATAAAATATATTATTATTGTTCTCTTTGGTTGAAGACATTGAATAGTTTTACCCCTATCCAATAATACGTTAATAATATTATTGTTACATTTAGTTTTTTTTCTTATTGCAAACACTAAATTATATATATATATATATATATATATACATTAAACTAAAGGCCTACGCGCCATTAGGCCCAAACGCCATTAAACTAAAGGCCTCCGCGCCATTAGGCCGAAACGCCGTTAAACTAAAGGCCTACGCGCCATTAGGCCGAAACGCCGTAAAACTAAAGGCCTATAAGCCGTAAAACCGAAGTGCCTGAAACTAAAAACCGAACTGCAAAAACAGTTCGGCCCAACTAAACATGCGACAGGATGCTCTCATTCATCATACATTCATAACATACATTCATTACATTACATACATTCATTACATACATTCATCATACATTCACGCATCCTCGTGTGATCGCATTATGCATACAGTTTCGTAAGAAACAAAGAGCTCAAAGCTCACTCAGACAAAGAGCTCCAAGCTCACTCATGTCGACAGTTCAAAATGCATTCCTGCATAAAAACGGGTACCAAATTACCCAACTAGGCCACTCAGGCCCCCTCCACTAGCAAATTCGCAAAATTGCACATTCTCTCAAACTGACTCAACTCGTCAAAGATTAAAGCGTGATTATCGTAAATACGTCAGGCCAAAGCTTGAAATGATCAACATAACGTACAAGGGTCCCAAAGTACCCGAAAACGACAAAACAACGATCCAAGTAACCAAAGTTACTCGATAAAGATTAAATGAGTCCTCGAGACGCATAAAGTAAAAGCCGATAAGATAAATGTGATCTCGTGAATCACTAAAAAATTATTCAAACACGCGTACTCGTCAACATATTTACAATTTCACCAATGATACTCGTTACGTAAATAATCTTACGCAATTTAAAGAGCTCGAAGCTCAAAAGATCATGAGGTGAAAACATCGCCAAATTATCAAGAATAAACGCGACTTCAGAACAGTCCAATCAGAACATGTCCTAAACTCGGGGGCCTTCTGTTGATACCTAATTTGGCTCCAATTAATAATAAATAAAAAATAAAATACGGCCCGACAACCAAGGGGCTGAAAATGTGTAATAGATAAATGTACAAACAAGTTCTCAAGACCGATCGCCCGGAAGCCGCCTCCAGTAAACGCAATAATTGTCGATAAAGCAGACGTCAATCGAAGCCGTCAAAAGGCATATGTGGGCCCTCGGGTGTCACCTCACATTGAATACTAGTGTATTATTTTATCCTTTTTTAGCACATGTATATAAATAGGAGAAGAAAGAGGAGAGGGGGGGACTTCCTCCATTTTTTTTCTCCACCCCACGAAAAGCAAAGGAAAAAGAGAAATATTCTCTCCAAATGATACAAAGGAAATACCCATTTTTACTCATTTTGTTCTTCATTTTTACATATAACGATTCAGTTTATATTTGATAGTTGACCGTCCCATTTTCGACGTCAACAGTTTGGCGCTAGAGGAAGGGCTCCGTAATTTGCTCGGAGTCAATTTTTGCCGGAAAACGGCCACATTCCCACCGGAATATGCTCCATCAAGTTTGTATTTCATCCCAGTTTCCTACACATCAATTTCTCCCATTTTCAATGAATATACATCTATAAACATTAAGTACATGCTCATCCCAAAAATAAAGAAAAAGAATCACAGAAACCCAAATTTTTTTTCCTTTCTTTCGCAGCGTATTCTCACTAAGTGGAGGGATTTGAAACTCCTCACATTCTTTCTTTTTATTTTCTCTCGCTAGTTCATTTGAGTGAACAAATTGAAATCAACTTGATTTCTTCATTTTTTCATTCATTTTTCCATTTTCCTTTTTGTTATGTGTGTAGAATAAAAAATTGAAACAAGTTGCACCTTTCATTGGATACCATTCACCCACATTATTATGACACTGTTCACATCAAATCATGTCAGATATTGATATATATAATATAAAAAAAAGTAATAAAATAAAAAATATATAATAAAAACGAGAGAAAAGTCAAATACAGAATCCATTTGTGGATGGCTCCCCGTCGATGCCTAGCTCGACACCCCCGCCTCAGCCTCCGGTGCCGACCTCACCGCTAGGATCACCCTCGCAACCGCATGTGCCGAGCTCGTACAACTCCTCGATCTGTTCTCAGACCTCATAACACTGACTAAACGCAACTCCATGACGAAGTCCGGGCCGACCCGAATCCACAACCACGGCCCGATGCCGAGTTCTGACTCCGAAACACCCAAGACCGGGCTGACCCCACATCACAGCCGCAGCCCGACGTCGAGCTCGAACTTCAAAGCTATCAGTCACTGGGGGCCGACCTCAATTATCCCAATACCGCCTTCCCTGCCGGGCTGAAAACAGCCACCAGGGCCGACCTCGACGTGCCGGTCTCGACATCTCCGGCCTTACAGCTCGTGGACGACCTCACACCGCATGCGCCGAGCTGACTCGCCTCAACGAGATAACCTCACGCCACCAAGCCAACTCCACGTCGAAGTCCGATCCGGCACACCACAGGTGCCGAGAAGATGCACTCTTCACAACACCGGGCTGACACCATCCTCGCCTCAGCCGGATAAACACACCTCACAGGTGTTGACTTCACCCCGAAGCCCGGGCTGATCTCGCCGCCGCCGTCGACTCCTCCGGTCACCGAAGCAGCAGCCGAGCTCGCACCTTCGATAAGGTGCCGAACTCGATCTCACACCGTCGGCAGCCGATCTAGCCTCCTCATCCCCAAACGAACTTCAAATCGCAATCGGCGCCTGCACCAACACCACCGACGCCGGGCCATCATCACGCTGCGCCGACCTCCGACCTACACTACAAATTGCCGACCTCGTCATCCCCGTCATCCTTGATTCTAAGCGACTCAGACCTGTAGTTAGCCGCTGAAAGCCCGACTCACCGTTCATCTGAGGCTTTAGGCGCCGAACTCGCTACCTCGTCAGACGCCGAGCTCGGCGGCCGAACTCGCTACCTCGACCACCTACGAGTCTCAAAAACCACAACCGACTTTTTCGATCTCGCAACCTCGAGGTACCCGACCTTTGTCGCAGAGCTCGACGCTCAACCACAGCCCGGACTGACTGTGACCCGACAGTCCAACACCGAACAAGCCCGGATTCCAATTTTTTGAGCCACCGACTCCACGAACACCACCCTCGAACTCGGGTACCGACCTTCCGTCTCCACTTGTGATACCGCTGCCGTCATAAAACGGGCATCTTCAAGCTCGTCTCCCCGCTGAGGTTCGCCGCAAATGCCGATCTAGCAATTTGAGAGATTTTCTCTTTTTTCTACCGCAGCGGATTGCCCTAAGTAGATAAGGCTTTTTATTTTTTATATTTATTATTTTGGGCTAGGCTTGTAAAGTCGTTGTAGAGAGTTAGAGAGTGTACAAAAAATTGGGCCCAATTGAATAATTTTGTAATGGATAGGATAAAATAACATTGGGCCCCAAAAAGTGTTGTAATAGATAGACTTACAAAATTATTTAGAGTGTATTAGGGCCCTAGTAAATATTGTAATAAGATAGAATAAATAGAATTAGGTCCAGTCACACAACAAAAATCTCGAAAATCGAGGGGCTCGGCAAAGGCTTGAAGAGTGAAGGTGAAAGAAAAGCTGACCTCTCCAGACAGTAATACTCTCAGGCCTGCATTCCACACCGGCCCGAGGTAATCCTACCCTCAATCTCGTTTTAAATACATACATACATATATATATATATATATATATGTTACACATGTGTGTATACATACACACACATACGCGTAAATAATGATAATAATAATAATACTAATAATAATAATAATAGTGCAATATATATATATATATAGATATATATATTTGATGATAAATAAATAAACGCATATATATTCATATGTACTGCACATGTATATATGTACTGCATGTGTGCTATACGCGTAACTAACAAGTAATGATTATTATAAGGTTCAATAATAATGTACATAAAATAAGTCACGCATATAAATGTGTGCATACAAATACATTGTGACATTATGAATTATATTCGTACATATAATAAGTAACGCATAGATTCGTATATATATATATATATATATACATATATATATATATATTTAATGATAATAATAAATATACAAAAACATATATTTATGTGCGTGAGTAAAAATATATATCGAATCTCATTCGTGAAAATCGAACCGAGACGGGAAGGATTGAGAGAAGTTGGTCTGCTGCAAGCCTTCGGGATAGGTACGACCATTCCTCTAATACTTCTCGATCTCGGGGAGTCACGAGACCTTCAAGTCGTGACGTCGTTACATCGTCCGCCGTAGAACCCTTGCTCCGGCCGATGTCATTATCCAGTCCGGCGACGAGCCCCTGCTCTGCCGGGCTGACGTCGTCACATCGCCCGCCGTAGAGCCCTTGCTCCGGCCGATGTCATTATCCAGTCCGGCGACGAGCCCCTGCTCTGCCGGGCTGACGTCGTCACATCGCCCGCCGTAGAGCCCTTGCCCCAGCCGATGTCATTATCCAGTCCGGCGACGA